GTGTGTAATATAAAAAAGTTTAGATTACTGATACCATATATATACGCGTGTGTATATTAAGAATACACCATTAGCACACATTTGCATTGAAACATTATTTACATTTTCTGCAGCCCTGAAAAGACAGATTTACAGAGAGTGACACTCATCTTTATAATGAAAACGTGTAAAGAAACAGTTGGGGTGGATAAAGGTTTTATAAGTCTATGTATAACTAAAGTCAACTAAAAGCCCTCGGATTGTTCTGCAAAAGGAGCGGGTAGGTCCTCAGAATCTCAGAAACCCCGTCTCCTCTCTATTTGGTGCGTTTACAGTTGATATTAATCAATATCCAATACCATTTTGATGTGACACTTGATATTTTTGATATAATTTCCTTATAAATACTTTCTAAAATCCTGCCAAATGTGGTAAAAAGCAGCCCAGATTTTAACAGCCCACCCAAAGCTGTTTTTTCCAGCCCAACGTGTTCAAAAGAAGCCCAATTGGGCAGAAACCCACCCAGTGTAACTCAGGCAGAGTACTTTGTAGAGTTTTGTCTGATTCTGGTCTTTTTATTTTTACTAAAGTTATTGTTTTGTTTTATTCCACCAGTGACAACAATGATTACCGGCCACCTCAACGGATCTGTCTCAAATGAAAGGCTGGACAAAGAAAAGATGGTGCTAAAATTAGGTGCCACACGTCTCCTGATGAGGAGGTTGGAATGTGGCACGGCAAAGATGAAGAGGACAGAAATCCGGACCCCATGAGGTTTACACCAGCAAGGGCACCTGGTCCCACATTTGATAAAACAGCAGCCTGGTCTCCACTCTGACTCGTCCAGCTGTTCTTCAGTGCATCCGCGGTACGGACGCTTATCACAAACACAAACGCTAATGCTGCCAAAAAGAAGGAAGCTGGACAAAAATTTCAATGGACATCTCTGACCGAGAGTGACTTTTACATCTTCTTGGCCATCATTGTCTTTACTGGCCTTGTAGGTGTCCGCCACAGATCTGATTCCTGGAAAAAAGACTGGCCGTACAACTTTCACTTCCCCCGAAAGAACATATCCAGAAACAGGTTTGAGGTCATCTTGTGGTCGTTGCACCTCAGCAACCCAAAAGACGACGTAGAGAACGATAAGAAGAAAGGCACACCAGAGCATGATCGGCTCTTCAAGATTRGGCCACTCTACGACCAGATTGTGACTGCCTGCAAAGCCAGTTTCCAACCTTACAAAAACATCTGTGTAGAGGAAAGGATAATGGGGTCCAGGGCTAAAACCAGCATGAAGCAGTACACGAAAGACAAGCCAGCGAAGTGGGGGTTCAAACTCTTTGTTCTGGCTGATTCTACAACAGGCTACACGTGGGACTTTTCTGTCTACACAGGGAAGAGTGGCTCCAGCAAAGACGAGAGCTCTTCTTCTTTTGAAGACCTCTTACCATTCTCCTTGCTTGGTGGGGGCTACAATTTATATGTAGACAATTGCGACACCAGCCCCGCCCTTTTTCGACATCTGTCCAAAAATCGCATTGGCTGCTGCGGGACCATTCGAAAAAACCAAACTGACTTCCCACGCACAGAGCAAAATGACTTCCCAGAGGAGGCTGGGCTGGGGGACGTGCGCTGGATTGGGCAAGACGAACCTTTGTTTGTGAAGTGGGTCGACACTCGGGAGGTGACGATGTGCTCCACGGTTCACAAGGCCTTCAGCGGGAAGACTGTGCAACGCAAAGTGAAGGAGGCGGGGGYGTGGAAGACGCTGGAGGTACCCGYCCCTGACGCCGTGTTGGACTATTGTCAAAACATGAGGGGTGTTGATTTATCCGATGCTCTCATCGGGTACTACTCTGTCCACCACAAGACAATGAAGTGGTACAAGACGTTTTTTTATCACTTCATGGACACCGCCATCGCCAATAGTTTCGTTTTGTACAAAGAGCTGTGCCAGACCCGGGCTGTTCCTGCGTACACCCAGAAGAAGTTCCAGAAGCATCTTGCCGCAGAGATGYTGGCGTTTGCTGACTCTGCACCACAGTCGCCCGCACCTGCGCCCACTCTCACCTGCATACCTCGGTACTACGGCAGTGACGCTTCGCAGTCCCAAAGGTATTGCAGGAGGTGCCAGGAGGCTGGCATCCCGAGGGTGAAAACCCCCATTTATTGTAGGTCCTGTAATGTCCCGCTGTGCCTCACGTCTAAGAAAAACTGTTTCGAGCAGTGGCACGACAACAACAAATCGGTGCTATAGACATGTAAATGTGAAGTTCTGTTAGTTGTGAGTTTAAGTTAGTACACTCCAGTTTGAGTCGAACAAAATTGTTTTATATGAAGGAGTTGGTATGTAAAAWTTTTTCAATAAGCTCAAAAACAAGCCTTTTTTGCAATAAAAAAGCCAAAATGTGACATTCTGTATCGAATAGGGATGTAAGAAAATATTGATAGACTGAAATATTGCTATATTTCATTTCCCGATTCTGTATCGATTCTCTAAAGCAGTGGTTCCCAACCTTTTTAGAGCCATTTCATCATACCACTAGTACCCCCTCTGTCTTGATGATTCTCCAAAACTATAATGTACTACAATTAAATGAAAGGTATTTATTTAACCCCCTATGATGTTTAATTTTCGGTAATGGAAGGTGCAGGAAGCAGCAGTGTTTAAGATACAGTACATTGTATTTTCCAAAATACATCAAGTACCCCAAATGAACAAATTTCGTGAGATTCCACATTTTATACAGTATTCCATTTTATGTCAGTTTTGTGATTCCGACTGCATTTTCAGCATTGCAGAAATCATAGGGCCCTACATATCTCAGTCCTATTTTTATTTATTTATTTTTTACACACCTGGGAAACTTTTCCACATCCCCCCCTGTAATATGCTAGTATACCCCAAGGGGTACATGCACCCCTGGTTGGGAATCACTGCTTTTCAACTTTTGACCCACAAAATAAAAGCAGCAAAGACATGTACTGTACCCCTAGCTGTTGTCTGTTGAACATTGTTTTCACGTCAAATGAACAAGAGCATAGTAATGTTATTTATTAGGCTATTTTTGTCTATTTTAAGTACACTAATCAATATTATTTTGTAACAACAAATGCAAAAAAAATTCTTATAGTGTAATTAATTCAAAAAATATTTTCAGGACTCCACCTTGATGTTTCAGGACTCCACTGTGGGTCCTGACCCCAACTTTGGGAACCACTGCTCTAAAGCACTGTATCGATTTTTAATTGAGGCTAAAGTGCCAGAGAATTTAACGGCTAGCTCAAACATTAGCATTGTGACTAATCATATAAAACAGATTTTTTTAGTAGAATTTTTTAGAGAAAAAATGGTGATTTATCATCTTGCTTACAGCATCGCGACGTATCGTATTGTGCGTGGCCTGTGTGTCATGTATCATGTCACCAAATCTTTGCCAATACACAGCCCTAATATCAACCTTTGCTGTTTTTACTTTAGCAGAATGAATCTGCACAGCTAATGTCCTTATGTAGATTTTCTGGAGTTTTTTTTTCTGCGTCCTAATTTCAAAGGTTTGCAGAAGATCATGTTTTATTCTCATTTTCTGTGAAACAATAACCTGAAGTGTTGCTTCACTTCCAGTGAGATCTCACAAATATCAGTTTGAAACCAAGATTAAAACCATAATTTCTGAGAAATACTTGATTTCACTTGTGCATGTTTTTTAAACAAGGATTTTTAGAGTACCCTCACATGGCCCAACAGGTTCCAATTGTATTTTTAATCTTACCAAATAAACTACTGGTATATCCTGAATGAGAGGGCCCAAACGAGTAAGGGAGTTCTCCTGGACAGAAATAAACAGATAAAGTTTAGAACAATAAAACTTATTAACAATAATGGAACAAAAACAAGCATGAGTTTCCTTACTTGGATAACAACTRATCAGTTGTTCGTATTGAAGTGTACTTGGGTCTTGTGGTCCTTGGGAAAAAGCAAACAAAACAAAAACATTGCACATGTTGAGAACACAARCGCATCATTATAAGTTATTTTAAAAAATGTAGATACTAGATTTGTTAGATGTGTTACTTTTTGGGTTCTTATAAGTCATGGTGAGATCCTGCGGACTGTTGGAGCCGATGCTTTTGGTGTAAATCAGCTTTCCCACACAATCAGTGTCCACCTTCTTTCCCACCACCGATCCGTTGCGTATAATGAAACGATGAACATCACCGTCGACAGCAGCGTAGAGAAATCTTGTGTCAWATGGCACACTGATGCAGTGTTTGATGGCAGCTACTGGGCACGGGCCACAGCGGAACAGCCCTAAGAGAATGATGGGCTCATGGTTATGATTAGAAAAAGGAGATTACTGATCCAGAATCATTGAGGAAACTCAATTTTCATCCAGCTTTTGATTTGCCCATTCATTTTTCTTGTAGTAATGTTCAAAAATTAAATAAAAATGCCTGAGCAGCGCTAACTTGAGACCTGTTAAAACCCACCTCCACTCCTCTCTTGTGGTGTTGGATCCACAACCTGCCAGCCATCAAACTCTTCACCGAGGTCTAATCTCTTCATCCAGCACTCCACCCACACATGGAAGTTCCTGTCAGGACACACGAGGACTCACATGCACAGACTGATGCGTAGACTTGCYRCTGATATGAATCTTCTAATTAATTRGTCYAAATAGCATCACCAACCAGATGCTGTCATCTGACAGGCCAAACTTTTCTCCACTGGTCGTGTAATACTCCTCKATGGTGGTGTTGCCGTCACTGTCGTGGGCGGCGTTGAAAACTGTCACCACTCTGGAGGGAATCCCTAGAACTCTAAGAACTGGGGAAAATTCATTTAAAATACTATATATATTATAT